CCCCCCCCCCCCCCCCCCCCCCCCCCCTTCAAGACCAAGTCAGTCACTGCTTTTCAGTCAGTTGGATCGAATTAAGGAGATTTTTTTTTTCCACCAGTGATGTTTATATTGTATATGATAACTTGTACAGAAGATCTAAAGCTTTTTTTTTTATCTTCATAAGGGTAACACTTTTAAGATGCATCTTTCTCTCTTTTTCTTTTTTAACAAAAGACTGAGTATTTAAAAGTATTTTCAGGGATCTGTAAAAGGAATCTGAAGGTTTAAAAGGGTTGTTTATTTAAAGCAAAAGGCCGACGGTGTACAGGAAAAGTCTCCACCTCCCCTTGTGAAAGATTGTTTCTTGTAGAAACGTCTTCTTTTTCTGCCCATTTGCTTTGTAATCCTAAAAATGTGTACATACAGTAACTGTGAATACTATATAAAAATATATATATATATATATATATATATTTTTGTTCCCCTGGGAGTTGCTACGTGAACGCCGCTCAGAGATCTATGTAACATATGAGGCGAGCGGTGAGCCGATAGCAGGAAATTCAGCTTGTGTCAAGCTTTGTTTTTGTTTTTTATTTTCTGTTGTAAATTCTATGAAAACTTGTTTGCGGTGTGGAGGAAAAAAACAAAGGTGCAGAATCGGCATGGGAAGAGGATTGAAGCATCAGCCTGTTTCTCATGTCTATTTATTACACAACAAATGTATGAAAAAGGAAAAATTGGAAATAAAGCAATTTTGCATACATCCATAAACGGCGGTTGTTATTCTTTGGAGGACAGTCGTCTGAAATAACCCCTCAGAGTCCTACTGGTGCTGACTTTTCATGAATGGAAACAAGAGGCAGCAGCAGCAGCAGCTGACCTAACAATGAGTCTGTGTCAGGCTGGCTCGATGGAGGACCTCGTCGTGTGATTTCCTGTTCTCCGACATACACACACCGGCAGTAACAATTAATAGCATTCACCAGTACAGTGGTGGATGCAGTACATAGATGATTTAAAAATAGATTTCATGTGAAGGCTAATGTAGATTCTTCATGTCCAATGTAATCCAGGAAGGAGAAACTATTTGATACGAATGAGTTTTCCTCTCAACCAGACTCTACTGATTTCAAGAGCTCTTATTAAGTGTGTTGTGAAAAGTCTCGAGTCTGTCGGGCTAATTCTCACGTCTCGTGAGTGTGAGGTTGATTTGATCCCCAGAAATCCACCACTTATTTATATTTTATGTTCCAGGTTTTTACTAGGTCAAAACTTGAGACTTGAATGGTTTTGCTTTGTAGTCTCACGTCAGGCTTTTAGAGAGTGAAGGCTCAGGTAACTGTTTGTGACGTAAACAACTAAGTTTGACTGGAGCCTGGGCGACCGTGGCTAAGTGGAGAGCAGGGCCGTCCTTCAATCAGAGGATCGGTGGTTCGATGCTATATATAGTATGGTATGTTGAAAAAAGTCGTAGTATGGTATGTTGAAAAAAGTCATAGTATGTTATGTTGAAAAAGTCATAGTATAGTATGTCGGAAAAAGTCATAGTATGGTATGTTGAAAAATGTCATAGTATAGTATGATGAAAAAAGTCATAGTATAGTATGTTGAAAAAAGT